GCGAACAGGGTCTGGTTGTTCGGGGGACAGACACCTGCCTGGGACCTGCAGCAGAGCCAGGGGACAGTCCCCCACACAGCACCCCAGCTCCCTGTGCCGTGACCTGCGAGGGATGCTCAGCAGCAGACACAGGTCTCCACATGGGCCCCATCCAGGGGGTCCCAGCACCAGGACATCGTGGACTGGGGCTGTCCCACGACCACAGGCAGACCTCTGGTTCTGCGCGATCTCTCAGCCCAGACCCCAGAATGGCTATCCTCAGTCCAAAATCCCTCTCCTGCTCCGGGCAGAGGTTGCGCCACCCCATCCAGCACTCTCTGCCCAAGACTCAGCACTGCAAACGCGCAGACCCCAGCTCATCTCCCTCCCATCCTCCCACTCCCTCCAGCCCCTCCGGGATGGGAAACCGCCGCAGGGTGACCAGGCAGCCCAGGAGCCCGCCTTCGAAAGGAGCCGGGTCCCTCAAGTGCCCCGGCCACACGTGGCACTTACTGTTGCCGCATCATGGGGATATTGACACAGTTGGCAGCAGCCACGGCTGCGAAGGGAACCCAGCGGGCCAGCAAGGGGGGGGCTCGCTGCAGGAGACAGGCTGGCATCAGCGTGGGAGGGCAGGATGCGGCCAGCTGCCCCACCTGTCCCTGCCTTGGCGTACCTTGGTGTAGAGGTTGAGTCCCACTGCGGTGGCCAGGGCTGTACTGGTGGCCGTGACATAAGCCACCCCAATTTGCCTGGATTTCCAAAGAAGGGAGAAAACAGAATAACCAACTCTGACTTGATCCTGTTCCTTCAGTGCCCAAGATGGGGCATGGGGGGGTTTTATGGGGCATCCAGGGGGGTCCCAACACAGAGGGTCCCCATCCTGTGCGGGGGCACGCTCACCTCAGTGAGATGGGGGAGGCGGCGTTGCGGTTGGTGTAGTTGACGATGGCGTTGAAGGACTGGTTCACCCACTGCCAGAAAACCACAGCAGGCACAGTTCTGCGGAGGGAAAGGACCAGGAGAGCACCCGAGGGCCGTCAGGGATGCCTGGCCTGTGCTCATGGCCAGGCTTGGTGGGGTGACAGCCAAGATGTCCTTGATACACTTGTCGTGGTGTCTCCCAAGGGAAAGTGAGGCACTGCGGCAAAGCCACGAGCCAGTGGCAGAGCTGGGAAATGGCCCCAGGACTCCTGGCTGCCGCGGGGCTTTGGGGAGCACATGAGCGGGTCCAGCCCTGCGGGGTGCTCAGCCAGTGGTGAGAGACCCAGCTCTCAGCAGGGCGGCAGCCATCCTGGTGGGCTGAGATAAGCCTTCATTAAAGGGAGTGGCAAGGAGGGGGCACACGGGGACAGAGGTGGCTCTGGGGGTGACCAGGGTGCATGGGCCCCTACTGGTGGGGCAAGAGGGGACATGGGGAGATGTGGGTCTGAGCAAGTCTTGGGATGCAGGAGGGTGGAGGTGGGCTGGGAAGAGGGAGACCCATCAGCACTGGGAGATTCCCCCCATCCAGACTGGACCTCACCAGCAACCAGCAAACCAGTCCAGCAAACAAGGGTGGGATGGGGCAGGGATCCACTGGGAAAGGCAGTGTTTGTCCCACACAGCCTCTGTGCTGGGGACAGGATAGCACCCCCCCAGCAGCCATTTGAGAAGGGAAATGCAGGGAGCTGTTGGCATGGGCTGGGGACACTGGAGCAGCCTGGCCTGGGGGCACCTTTTGTCCTCAGTTTCAGGGGGCATTATGGTCCACAGAGCAAGAGCAGTGGCCATGCAGGACTTGGCTGCATTAATCATTACAGGGGCTGCGGAAAGAGCTGAGCTGAGCTGATTTCAGGGCAAAGCGAGACCATCCCCAGCCATGCCAGGGGCCGGGAGTATCCATGATGCTTCCACCACAGGCTGGGCACTGGGGACAGGGCACAGGGCACAGGGACAGGGGGCTTAGCCACGGGATGCAGTCAGGCACAGCA